TTTTGCACTGAGATGATATTGATAAAATTTTGGTTTAGTCTCTTGATAGATCTAAAATTTCGTCAGCAGTGTAAAGAAAGTCTATGCAAATGACGCCAAACATATAACTTTAGATGAAGTGATCACGGTGGAGGTTCACTTATTCGCTAATTGCTCGTTCATTATTTTGAAAATATAGCTTCTACTCATCGTTCTAAACCTAGCTATTCATAGCGATATTTAAATGGTACGTTTTCTCTGCCATCATGTGATTTAGATTATTAATATTATGGATTAAGTCAGTTTTGATAACCACTTATTCTTCCCGACCACAGGTTTTCTACTAACATTTAAATAACAAGCGCTCCTTTTACTTAGAAACTGAACAGTGTAAGAAACTGATTTTGCGATGTTTCTTTTAATGAAGCGATTTATTCTATGGCAACAATAATACAAATTGTTGTTAATAATTATTCCAGAACAGATAATATTTGAAAGTTAATTTTCAGTTTCTAAATGAATTTATGGTGGTATTGAATTTATGTCAATAATTGCAAGTTATTATGCTTAACACGTGCTTGTTTTAAATGTTTCTATGTATATTTATTGATGAAAGAAAAATGTATATATGTTATGCTTTATGTAAGGCTGTAAATATTTCCGTTTTTGAAAGGAAATTCTTCGCATAAAAGTTGTATCGCTACAGCGCTTATACCATGTGAGTGTGCTGTGCTTCTCAAAGTAGGAAAACAAATGTTGTTCATCCTTTACATTCATGACGGTTATTTTGGTGCCTTTTTTCATGAAGTTAATAGTGCAGCAGCGCTTCGTTTCTGTCACGAGTGCCTTATTTTTTAAGGCAGTATTTACGGCCTATGGCAAGCGTAGCTTATAGTCTGTTGCTTCCTTTCCATAGTGGGTACTATAAGTAGGTGTTCTTAGAAAATATTTTCAAAGGGATCTAAGGTTTAAATTAAAGTTTACAGATATTCGTCTATTTAAAAAAATTTTCATATGCGTATTTCAATAGTTTAGTGTGAATTCACTGTGTGTGGAATTACTGTTAAATCGGAGGAAGATTCACAACGATGATTTGTCTCTGAAGAATACAATACCCGAAAGAAACACGTTATAAAATTAATGCAAGCAGCAGCATGATCCTTAATGAAGTTAAATGACGGAAGAGAAAGATTTTGGACAGAATTATGGTACAATAAGCATTTAGGAATAAACTTAAGAAATCAGCCCAGCGTGGTTTCCTCCACTGCATGATTAAATTGTAAATGAATGTGTTATTTAAATTAATGTCTCGTTGCAAACTCATCACCGTACTATTGAAAACTTGCACTAAATAAGATCATCCGAAATACACCAGAAATGGTACGATGCACGACCGTCTAAAAATTTGAAGGAGAGCCACCGTAAGATTGAACTTGGGCACAGGTAGCTCGCCACCTTAAGATGCATAATCTTTTCCGCGTCTTCACCAGGAATTAACCGTGCTTGCGCACCTTAAATCCGAGCTAAACCTTGTATTATTAAATGAAAAGATTTATTGAGATATAAGAAATATTTAGTTCTAATCCAAAAGCGATGCTGATATCCGCTTGAAACCTTTTAAGCAACATTTACTAACTTTAGGGTGTTTCACAAATACACACATTTAATGAGTGTCATTGAATTAAATAATTCATATGCTTATATTAAAGGATTAACTATAAAATTAACTATAATAGCGTACACCTTATTTTGGACAATAAAAGTGCCTTTAAACAACATTTGAGGAATGCAACTAAAGAGGTAATTGAAAAAGTAAGAAAGTGGGTTCTCATCAGAATGTAAAAAATGTCTTGTTATGCGTAACCTTTTATTCCCAGTTACTATAGTGATTAACAGTTGAGTGTAATTTTTAAACCGAGCAATTTCTTGCTCTTGTAATATACTGTCGGACTTCTGGTTCAAAAGGCACATCATTCTGATGT